AAAAAAAAAAAAAAAAAAAAAAATTGGAGGTGGAGTGGGAATAAGGCAGAGATGAGGGGATAGGCAAGGCCACAAGCCCAGTGGAGGCTGGAGCCAGGCCTGGTAGGAGAACCCGTTCCAGCCCTTGCTGGTTGTGTAGCTGTGTGACCTTCGCAGATCCCTGTCACTCTTAGACTCATCCCCCCTGCTGCACAATGGACCACTTAATTTTAAAAATTAAACTCTTAACATGTGCCAGTCAAAAAGAGCTTTACAAATAAGAATTCGGGTTTTCAATCTTATAAGAAGCCTATGAGGTAGTATTTTTGTTCCTACTTTACAGGTGGGGAAACGGAGGCATAGAGAAGTTTGGCGGGAGAGGGAGGCTGAGTCAAAGGCCTTGAAGGCCAGGGTGTGCAGGGAATCAGCTTTGGCTTGGGTGGGATGGCCAAATGCCCACAGACATCCCTGCTCACAAGGGACTTCTGTGGCCTCAGGACAGCACCACGGTGTGAGGAAATGCAACATCACGTGCAGCAAGATGACGTCGGTAAGGATACCTGTGACTTTGCTCCTCCGCTATCAACACAACCAGGCATCGTGTGGCAAACCTGCCATCATGTAGGTACCGCCCTCGAGGCCTCGGAAATCCCCTTCGGGCCCTTAGAATATTCCCAGGCCTCTGAGAACCTGTGTCTGTACCTCCCCTCCCGGACCTGGGCTCCCAGGCAAAGTCCTCAGCACCTGCTTCTCTTGCCTCTGGCCTGCAGGCCACCTCCCTGACCTTAATTTCTGTGCCACATGGCTAAGGTGGAGAGTAGCTTCCTGAATAGCCCACCCTGGCTTGTGGCCTGGAACAGCCATCAAGGGTGGTAATTCCTCCCGGGCTGAAGCACATGTTACCCGGCACTTGAACCCACGAGATTTCATGGGTGGGGGTGGGGTGCAGGAGGCGTTAAGCATGAGGGTCCTAAAATGCAGGTTCCAGACTCCAACAGACCTGGCGCAAATCCTGCCTTCCCGCTTACTGGCTGGGTGGCCCTGCTTTCATTGCTTACTTTTTGCACGTTGATTTCCTTGTCTATAAAATGGGTCACTAGGACATGATGTAACTGGAGTGCTTGGCAGGGGCGCGGTGGCTCACACCTGTAATCCCAACACTTTGGAAGGCTGAGGCGAGCGAGCCTTCCAAATCACCTGAGGTCAGGAGTTCAAGACCAGGCTGGCCAACATGGTGAAACCCCATCTCTACTAAAAATACAAAAACTAGCCAGGCATGGTGGCGGGTGCCTGTAATCCCAGCTACTTGGGAGACTGAGGCAGGAGAATTGCTTGAACCCAGGAGTTGGAGGTTGCAGTGAGCCGAGATTGCACCACTGCACTCCAGCCTGGGCAACAGAGCAAGACTCCATCTCCAAAAGGAAAAAAAGAAAAAAAAATTAAGTGCTTGGCAGGGTGCTGACAGTAGGAGCTACAGAGATGACCACCTCCATTTGGCAGAAGAGGAACTGGGGCCACTGTGAGACTGTGGGACTCTGGGGAGGGAGGGAGCCATTCTCTCCCTAGCTGTTGACGACCCTGGCCATCTTGGTCACTTGCTCCTCCTGGGGGTTCTCTTGGTATCTGCCTAACCAGGCTACCCTGAGGCCTTTCCCCGGGACTGACTTTTGGGCCCTAAAGCAGCCTCAGCCAGACCTAAGGACCTGGCACCAGGAAATGCCAATGGCTTTTTGCTTTCTAGGCTCAGCTAAAGGAAGTCTGGCACTTCCTCTCCTCAATTATGCAGTTTCTAAGGTGGGTAGGGTGCTGAGTGTGCTCCTGCCTGACCTCTTTGCTGCCCAGTCAAGAATTACTTCCCCAAGACACCCCCAAAGATATTTTGTTTTCTAGATGAAGGGGAAGAAGGAAGTGGGGGAGGGGTCACTGTGCCCAGGGGGCCTGCAGGCCTGCTTCCTGGACTTGTCTGGCTTCCTGGAGCCAGGTGCTTTTAATACACCTCTCCGAGCCTGTTTCCTCATCTGTAAAATAGGAATGAGCCTGGTAGCCGCCTTGTGGGATGGGCGTGACGTTTAAACGTGGGCAAAATGCCAAGCACAGCCATGGCGCGTAGCCAGGGCCTCTGTCAGCTCTGAGCTGTGGGCTTGGTGGTGACCCAGTCACACACGGCTTCAGGAATTCAAGATTTGGAGGGCACTCGGGCTCCCAATGAGGCTGCCGTATATTTGGCTCTACCCCTACTGTCCATGAACACACATCAGGAGGGGAGGAGGGTCCGGAGCACAGCCTGTAGCCATGAAACCGAAGGAGAGGAGCAACAGCACTCACGAGTCTCATAGGGCCTGTTCCAGAGCGAGGAGGCCCCATAGAGATCTCACCTGCACACACCTGGCATCAGCTAACACCTGCGAAGTCCCTTCCCCAGCAGGAGACCCAAAGCCCAGAGCCCCCTGCCTCCATGGTAACAAAACCGGCCACCTTGTTATTGTTTTCAGCTGTTACTGATCTACTCTGAGCCAGGTGCATCACATAATCTACCTTTTTTTACAGTAACACAGAAGCAGGGTAATCAACTCATCCCTGTTTGCCTGGGACTTTCCAAGTTTTAAAATGGAAAGTCCCTCATCCGGAGCACCCCCTCCATCCCAATTTTTCTGGGATAGCTGGTCACCCTACAGAGGGGAGGCTTTCCTATCTCCATTTCTTAGGTGACGACTGGGGAGCTCAGGAGGGTGGGCTGCCCCAGGTGGTCAGTTGCCTCACAGCCGCTAAGTGGGAGAGCGGGGTTTCCAGCCGGGTCTGTTCGTCCGCAGAGCATTGGTGCTGTGCCCCCACACCATGCTGGCCCGGTTTCTGGTATCTGGGCATCACTGGATTCCTGTCTGCCTTCCTTGTAGCTTGGAGACGAGAAAGAACAAGCTGTTCTGTGCCGACCCAAAGGAGAAATGGGTCCAGGAAGCCAAGCAGCATCTAGACCGCCAAGCTGCTGCTCGGACTCCAAACCACAGCACCTTCGAGAAGCTGATCGGCGAGACGACGCCCTGGACCACCCCTGCCGCCAGGGTAATGGACGAGTCTGTGGTCCCAGAGCCAGAAGCCACCGGCGAAAGCAGAAGCCTGGAGCCGACCCCTTCTTCCCAGGAGGAACAGAGTGCCCTGGGGACCTCCCCAGAGCTGCCGACGGGAGCGGCTGGTTCCTCAGGGACCAGGTTTCCCCCGACACCAAAGGCTCAGGATGGAGGGCCTGCGGGCACGGAGCTTTTCCGCCTGACTCCTGTCTCTACTGCTGCCTCATGGCAGAGTTCTGCTCCCCACCAACCTGGGCCCACCTCTGATGCCCCGTCCACCCAGGCCCCCTCCACCCAGGCCCCC